TCCCACTAAAGGATATTGATCCAATACGACATTATAGTCCAATATCACACTCGATCAATTGTCCCTCTATGAATAATTGAAAAGTTCTCTAATCAACCTAATTGGATGTACTCTACCTCATGTTAATAGCCACAACTCGGGAATATGATCAATAGCCACACAATTTTATGATAATACATTAATTCAATATGTAATCAAGCGTTTAATCAAGCATAAGAATTATTCAAACATAATTCTTAACATACAAAGCTAGAACATGGCCAGGGTTCATAAAAAACCAAGTGAGGGAGAACGTCCATAGAGAGGAGAGAGAAAAAGGAGAATTATATGCGGACGTGATTTGCTAAAAAGGAGTTATGGTGGTAGGTGGGTTTAGGTGATCAGATCTGAGTTCAAGGGGATTCATGGGTACCGGAGTATGTAGGGACGGATTTGTCGATTTTGGCTTCAACTCCCTTGTTTGTAGCTTCAATGGTTTGATCTATTATTGTCAGGTGAAGGAAGTTGGTGTGAGTAGTGTTTAGATCATCGTTTTCTGATTGAGGTGAAACGACGGATCCTGAATATTCTTGTTTCGAGGCTTGCAGTTAGGGATAAACTCATTTGGTTGTAGGATTCGGATGGTACCTATTCGGTAAAGTCTGGGTATCATAGTGTTGTTCCAATTCCTCCGAAGCTTAAGTTTTTTCTCTGGCAATAATGAGTCGTATTCTACCGAATATGGAAGCTTTGATGGAGAAGGAGGAGTGGTTCCACTTCGATCTCCTATCTGCTGGGGTCCTCTAGAGTCTTGAGAACATTTATTCCTATACAGCAAAGTGGTGGAAGAATTGTGCGTTGGAAGTGGCTTGCATGAGGTGCGACAAGGTTTTGAAGGGTTGAATATGCCTTAGTTTTTAGACGTATTATAGAGCGGAATGCGGATCCAAAGAGGATTATGCAGATTGTTGCATTACTGTGGCAAATCTGGAAATCTAGAAATTGGGTTGTTTTTTTACTGAATGGCTAAACCTCGCCCGAATTTAGTTTATCGCCCTAACTTAAAAGTGAAAATTACTTAAATATCCTTAAAGAACCAAATAGAAAATTAACAAAACCAAACAACCCCTATCTCCTTCCTCGCATCAATACAACTCGCAAGGAGACTGGCGTATACCTGGTGGCGGCCATTACAAACTTTTGAGATTCGGCTTCTTCTCCGATTCACCGTTCATCATCTCCAAGATGCCCGATTACTTCTTGGGGTTGGAGAATCAGCCGCGGGGAGAGAAGAGGCTAAGGAGCAAGCCCGTCTTCAACGACAGCGTTTCGGCATCGGATCCGGGTTCGCCTGCCCTGGTCGTCTCGTCGTTGCCGTACTGCTCCACCTCATCGGTTGCCGCCCCGCGAACCTCTCGATCACGAGCGTCTCATCGATCCCCGATCTCCCGCCGGTCCAGACCAAAACCGAACCGATCGTGTTTCGGAGGCAGTACTCGTAGCCAATACGGTAGGACCAATCGCAGCAATAGCCGCCGCCAAGTACCGGATGCAGTACATTCCGGAGTCTCATTACGTTGAGCAACTAATATATATATTCAAAAACTGAATATATACTCTAGTAAAAAACTAAATATATACAAAAATCATATAGTTTGCATGTTTAACAATGAGCCCTCCAATTTACCGGGGAGAAGAACGATAAGCAGTTCAGTTTGGCGGGGGTTGAAATCGCCCTCGTTCCCGGAACGGGAAACGGTGGAGTAATGTTTCCAACGGTCAGCAATTTGTTTATGCGTTGTTTGTTAAAATTAAAATATTTTTTAATAACAAAAAAGAAAAGGCTAAAGTAGTAATTTTTATTTGTAAGTTAGGGCGATTACAGTAAAATATAGGGCGATAATTAGCAACCCTCTTTTTTATCATTTGCAGTATAATAAGTACATTGCTTCGTCAGTATCATAGTCAGGTCAGAGAATGGGTAGATTTACCGGATCTCGGTGTGAGGAGATGCCAAATGAAGTTGGTCAATTGATAGAGGTGGGCTTGAATACTCCTTATGTTTGCTTTGTCGATGCGGTGGTTAGATCGGGTTCTACTAAATCAGGTGGGATTGTTATGCAGGACTATGAATGTACTGTACTTTTTATGCAAGGATTTGTTTATGCAGGTTTGACGAATCCATATCTGAGTGAATTAATGGCCTTTCGGGATGCGATTTGGTGGTGCTCTCTAAAGGGTCTCGCTAAAGTCACTTTTCTGGGCGATGCTAAGGTTGTTATTTCCTGTTTATGCCTGGAAAGTACCGGGCAGTTTGTGAAGCTCACTGACTCCGTGCGGTCTTGGAAGGATGATGAGGCGACCTTCGAAGTCCTGCAACAAAGGTCCTCAGGGGAGCCTTGGGACCTCCTCCGATGCCTAAGTTAGTGAGAGAAGTGGATAAAGTGAATAAGAGAGAGAATGGGGTAGATAGAAGTTACCATAAATGTGATCCGTTGATGGGTATTTATACTAGTTGGGCCTAGGAGTGAGGACAAGTTACGTTATGTCGGGCGGCCTGACGCTATGTCGGGCGGTCCTCAACCGCCTCTGACTTCTCATAAATGCTTGGTCAGATCCGTACTTTGTTCAGTATTCGTACCTTGTTGTCAGGACGTTGACTATATCCTCTGTCGGGCGTCCTGCTTTGTTTCCGTTGTATGCTGGGCGGTCTTATTAGGTGCGACCCATAGACCGCCTCTTAATCCTCTGGATTGGGCTTGTTCGCTTTATTGGGCTTTTAGTGGTCATGGGCTCGGAGGCCCATATGCTTTAACTAACATAATCTTGTTGACAAGGGGGGAAAGTGAAAGAGTGAAAGGAGAATTGAGGGAAATGAATTAGGTTTTGATTAAGGTGGTCACTCAATTGCATTTCTACTATTTATTTCCTCGAGTTATCCTCATCATCATTGATAGATTACAATTTGATCCACATATTTTTGTATATGTGAAGAAATTCTCTTGGTGGGGCGGATATGGGTGTATGGGGCGGGGGAGGCTAAAACCATACCCACCCCATACCCATCAAACTTTTTGCGGGTTTTACCCATACCCGGTCAAAGCGGGGATTACCCGCGTTGACAGGGTCGGGGTCGGTAGGGTACCCGCGGCCATGGGTTTGATTGCCATCCCTACCTAGCCCTCATAATTTGCGATGCGGGAAAAAATTACAATGACAGGTCTTTTTCAATCCATTTTATCGTTCGATAATTGTTATCTCATCTTGTCATTACTTTCTTACCTTAAATCAGCACGACGGTTAGATGAGAAGTACTAATATGGTAAAAACAATATACAAATATCTATTTCTAGAGATTCCAAAACTATATAAATAATTTTTTTCTCTAGATATAAAAATCAATCTTCCCACCATCAAATTTTAAGTTAAATTCATATGTTATTTTATTTCTAAATAAATGACATCATTACTTTTTCTGATAGTGGGTGGTTGTCCCCCCGATGATTTCATATTAATACCTAACCTTGTTTTGATTAGTACCCTCTCTGTGGAAGAAAGAAACAAAATCAACTTTTTGGGGTGACGAGGGCGATGATGTAAGCAAGTGATTGAGACACCCAAACTAAGCTCCATCAGGGTACTAGTATAGCACACATGAGATTGTTGGGGGAGTGTTTTGCTATTTTGCCACCCCAATGTCCCAATTCCAATTGGGTGTCTAGACAGACTTGGTCTATTTTCGCTGCTCAGCTTAGCTTTAAGTGGGTTGGAGTTTAGTGATTTGGGGGTTTCGTTTGGGGATTTATTTTGGTGCCGCCAAGTGGCAGCCTTAGGGGCTCTCTTTGAATCTAATGAACTTGACCTAGCATATCAATCACAGGGTTAAGGAAGGGGATTAGTAAACTTTGAGCCTGACCCAATTCTAGTTTAGACTTTGTATGTAACATTAATGACCATCTAGTCCCTGAGTTTCAAAAAAAACAACAACAACAACAACAAAAAGTCCTTGTCCCTCATGGTCATGGCCTCACCTCTATTTGACATGTTCCTTCTTTGCCAAACCTAGTGGTGGCTTGTCTAGGCAAAACAATCAACTGAAACGAATCAATCGTGTAGTAAATGGTGACCTGTAGGATTTTAGAGAAAAAGGAAGAATGTTTGCTACTTAAACCAAGTATACTCCTTAGATAATTCATGATGGAAGAAGTTTTATTGGAGGTTTGTCGGTTCTAGTCACATATAATGTGGTGCTTAGTTACTACTTGTCAGTTTTTATTAGAGGCGAGCGTGATATGACCATTTTTTTCCTCACATTATTGTGAGATCTCATCTAGCATTTGGTTGGATTTATTGTGACATAATTTTTTTGTTTCTGGAACCACATACTCTTTACCTAAACTAATAAATGTTCGATCGAGGTTCATCCATTTTATAACTTGCTTACTTTTAACATTGTAAAAACCGAAACGTTTTCAATGAAGTTATTGTGTTAAAATACTTTTTGTAAATTCTTCCTTGTTACCTCCTCAATTTATTATAACAAGAAGAATTTGACTAGGAATTTACAAGTGGCCGGTAACAAAACCATTATTTGTAGGGGCAAATCAGTAATTTGAGTAGTGAGTCAAGCAAAATAAAAGAGATGGAGAAAGAATTTATGTTGTGATTGATACTTGGTCTCTCCTAAATTGAAAGGAGGAGTTGGATAGACCCACAATAAGAGCTTCCAATATCCAAATACAAATAAACAAAACTGAAATCATGCTACTCCCCCTCAACTTGCCAAGCATAAAAAACTCAGACAAGACTCTCTCCAAGTTGTCCTGTCCCTCAAACACATATATATACACACACACTTAACCCAATATGTTCATAGCCAAACACCCAACAAGGAGTTGTTCAAAACACATTCTCTCATAAGAAGAAGAAAAAAAACTTATCAATACCTTCCCCACTTGTTTCTTCTCTCCCTTCATTCCCCACTTCAAAATCTTTCCCATCTTGGAAACCCCTTACAGGATATGGAGATTCATTTCCAGCAGAATGATACTACAAGTGCTCCAATGGTGAGCAAAACAAGCAAAGGCAGGGGAAGAAGCAGAGTTATGAACTGCAACACTGACAGCAATAACAAGTTTGTTGGAGTCAGGCAGAGGCCATCAGGGAGATGGGTGGCTGAGATAAAGGACACAACTAAGAAGATCAGGATGTGGCTAGGCACATTCGAGACAGCCGAGGAAGCTGCAAGAGCTTACGACGAAGCTGCCACCCTTCTCCGTGGCTCAAATACTCGTACCAATTTCATCACTCATGTCTCCTTTGACTCCCCACTTGCTTCCAGGATCAGAAACCTGCTGGAAAAGAAGAAATCCAAGAAGCTTCAGGCGCAAGAAAGTCCTCTTCTTGCTCAATTACCCACCACCACCCCCACCAAACCCTTACCACCACTTCCACCACCTACAACAACAAGAGTCCATGCTAGCATTAGCCCTAGCTGCAGCACCAGCAGCATAACAACAAGCAGCAGCTGCAGCATGAGTGATGACAATTCGAGCAGTAGCGAGGCAGTGATTCCTGATACGAGGTTGTTTGATGATGTGTACAAGCCCGATTTGAGCACCTGCAATGGGGGGTTGCAGCTTGATTCGACTTCTCCTCCTTCTGATCTAATGTCATGGAGCTTTGCCCCTGATCATCACAATGGATATGATCACAGCAGGTTTCAATTTACAGCTTCCAATGAAATTGATTTGGAGTTTCCCAGGAACCAGAACTGCAGCAGTACAGCAGCAGCAGCATTTGGGACAAGTGATCATGAGCAGCTGCAGTTCTCCGAGTTCGATCGGATGAAAGTGGAGAGACAGATTTCAGCCTCTTTATATGCAATTAGTGGTGTTCATGAGTACATGGAAACTATGAGAGACCCAAGTGATGGTTTATGGGATCTCCCTCCATTGTTCTGCTAAGTCTTTTCTTCATTATTCATCTTTAAAATCAGGGGGGGAAAAAAGCCCCAACCTTTCTTTTCTTTTTTCATGTTCCATACTTGAGAGTGTGGCCCGGAAGATGGAGTTTTTATTAACTGTTCTTTTCCTGCTGCTGTTTATCCTAGAAAGTGTCGACAGCAAAGAGCTACCTAATGGGAGCAGCATACTGCACCATCTGGTGTTTAATACAAATATAATTTGCCCAAATTGTATGTTCTGACGAAATGGAAATGCTAAGCAATCAAAATCATTCACATTATATTAGTACCTCTTGATTTATTAATCAACTTAGGTGTGAACAAATAGTAAAAGAGTTTCTGAAGCAGCTGCAATTCAGTGAGGAAAATGACGCAAGAAGGGACAAATTCCCTTCTTTTTTTTTAATCTTCAATGAAAGCGAAAGCCATTAGCCTTTCTTAGTCTTTGTCTACTAGGAAAAAAACCCCATATAATAGAATATATACAACTGTTGGCGAAAACCCTCCATTAACTTATTTGTACAGCTTTCAGAATTATCTATTAGAGTTTGAGATTGTCAGGCTCTCTGGTTATCATGAGCATTGATCTCTTCATATGTCTATAACAATACAAACTTATCCCCATAGATATTCCATTGCCAAGAGAAACTGTTCGATAGATATAAGAAAATTGAGAGCTGCGGGCAAATAGAACTCCTTTTAGGAGTATCAATACCGTCACATGAATCGTAAATGCATGAATATGATGGACCAAAAAATCCGCGACACTCCATGAACATCAGCTCGATTTGTAAACCTACAAAAATCCTGACCCTAGCATCGAGAGTTTGAAACCCAGCTCAACCATTGTAAGAAGGCACCATGTTGAAACTTGAAACCACCAACAGTACCAAATTAAGCAATTTGAACCGATGACATTTTTTTGTCCCCCTTCTCATATTGGTTCTCTTTCCATTTATTCCAAGGCTTAATAATGAAGATTTCTGAGATAGAAATTGCAGTGTTAGGCAGTTAGCATTTGGAGCAGAATAAATGGTTGTTAATGATAACTCCAACAACTGATCCATCAGCCAATCAATTGAGGTTGACCAAGCCCATTCCAAATAAGAAAGGTGAATGTGGAAGCAATGTTGTTAACAAAGTGCTAATAAGAGGATGGAGGGTGGAGGGAAAAGAGACAAAGTTAGCATTTTGTTTATTCAGAAGTCATAATGATGCATAAACCCCCAAAAAAACCCAGATGGAATCTTCGAGGGACAATAGCATAACCCACATTGTATATTTCTAATATGAATACACAAAGCAAGTAAGAATATGGTCAGTTGCTCCTTCGCAGGTTAGAATGCAATCTAATGCAATGAGACTTCCAGAAATAAGAACCGTTGTTTTTCTTCTCTTAATGAAACTCCGACGATGAACAACATATGTCATCCCACGAAGTTTTTGTTCAAATTGTTGCAGGAAGGAGAAGCATGATGTGCTAGGACGAGCAGGTATGAAGTGATTTTTTATCGTCTCTTTTCAAATCAACAAAGGATATATATACAGAGCCCTACTTCAAAAAACCAGCATAAGCAGCACAGGGAAACAAAATAGAATGACAGAGACAGACACTTCAAAAGATCAAAGACATCGACAGAGCATAGTAGTAGTAGCAACGTTTGTCAACATGTAAAATACAGAGCTCGTGAAACCAAATGAGAGATAAAACAGAAGGGCATCAAACATAGTTGTGTAATGCCCCTCTAGGAAAAGTCTTTTTTTTTTTCAGTACTCGTCACCTTCTTCTTCATCATCAGCACCTTCTACGCCAACCTCCTCATAGTCTTTCTCGAGCGCTGCAAGATCTTCTCGAGCTTCTGAGAATTCTCCTTCCTCCATGCCTTCACCAACATACCAGTGAACGAAAGCTCTCTTGGCATACATGAGGTCAAACTTGTGGTCAATTCTGCCAAAGACTTCAGCCACAGCTGTGTTGTTGCTTATCATGCAGACAGCACGCTGAACCTTAGCCAGATCACCTCCAGGAACCACGGTTGGTGGCTGATAATTGATGCCACACTTGAAACCAGTTGGGCACCTGCATGCGTAAATAATACAGGCGTCAGCAATTCAGTAGGTGAAAGACCGATCTTTGACCATGGGAAATGTACTCACCAGTCAACAAATTGCACAGTCCTCTTGGTCTTGATTGTGGCAACTGCAGCATTAACATCCTTTGGCACAACATCCCCACGATACATAAGACAACACGCCATGTACTTGCCATGCCTAGGGTCACATTTAGCCATCATACTTGAAGGCTCAAACACTGCAGTAGTGATCTCAGGAACAGATAGCTGCTCATGGAAAGCCTTTGCAGCTGAGATTACAGGGGCATATGAAGACAACATGAAGTGGATGCGAGGATAAGGGACAAGGTTGGTTTGGAACTCTGTAATGTCCACATTAATGGCACCGTCGAACCTCAAGGAAGTGGTCAAGGAAGAGATGATCTGGGATATCAGGCGATTCAAGTTGTTATAAGTCGGCCTTTCAATGTCCAACGATCTCCTACAGATGTCATAGATAGCTTCATTATCTAGAAGCACAGCTACATCTGTGTGTTCGAGGAGAGAATGAGTGGAGAGCACACTGTTGTAAGGTTCAACAACAGCAGTTGAAACCTGCATCAGTTGGAAACAGCCAACAAGTCAATTGACATCCAGAAAGATTTTAGCTATAAAAAATGAAAAATACCAAACTGGTCCCCGGTTAATCTACTTTGACCCAGATGGCTTTGTTGCAATATTTGTACCTGAGGAGAAGGAAAGATGGTGAAGCCAAGTTTAGACTTCTTTCCATAATCCACTGACAAACGCTCCAACAACAAAGATCCCAAACCAGAACCAGTGCCACCACCAACAGCATTGAATACCAAAAATCCTTGCAAGCCAGTACAGTTATCTGCCAATTTCCTAATTCGATCAAGGCACAGATCGACGATTTCCCTCCCCACTGCAGCATTTTGACAGCACAGAGTAGTAACTTAATGTCAGTGAACAATGAGAAAACGCATAGACTGACTACTGCGCCATCCCTACATTTAACTTACGAAATTTGATTTTACGAATCTTTACCAGTGTAATGTCCTCTGGCAAAGTTATTGGCTGCATCTTCTTTGCCTGAGATGAGTTGTTCAGGGTGGAAAAGTTGTCTATAACTCCCAGTTCTCACTTCATCAATGACGGTGGGCTCAAGATCGACAAAGACAGCTCTCGGTACGTGCTTCCCAGAACCAGTCTCGCTGAAGAATGTGTTAAAGGAATCATGCTCACTCCCAATCGATGTGTCACTGCAAAACCATTTATGAAAGGCCAAAAAAAAAACTCGGTTAACGCAACAACCAAAGAGCTAACGGAGAGCCAGATCCTGAAACGATGACGATACCCTAAACGATCATTTAAATTATAGTCAAACAGAACTTCACACCCAGCACTGAATCGTCGGCGAAACAGGAATTCTAACCTAATAAGCACAAAAATGTCCAAGAGGGAAAAAGCATTTTCCCCAAAGGGAAATGATAACCGAAAGAAAGCAGTGAATTCCGAGATTTCAATCCAGCAACGGAAATGTGATAACTCAAACAAAATAAAGCCGAACATGGAATTAAATTGAAAAAAGAGAAGTTTTCTTCTTTGAGACATAACAACAAACAGGTAGAGAGCATGACAAAACCCATATGAAGAAAACACGAAAAGGAAAAGACCTGGGCATGGTGCCGTCAGGCTGAATGCCATGTTCAAGGCAGTAGAGCTCCCAGCATGAATTCCCGACCTGAATTCCAGCTTGTCCAATATGAACGCTAATCACCTCTCTCATTTTCCCTTTTCCTTGAACCCTGAAGAGCTGAGCCGAATCCCAATCCAACCCTCTCTGTCTCTCGATTCGATAACCCAAAACAGAGAGAATTGGGGCGTGAAGGAGAAGACGCAAAGTAGATTCAAAATCGGAGATAGAATTTGAAAAAGTGAGAGAGAAAGTAAAGAAACAAAAGATTTCTCGTTTTCTTTCTCTTCTTTCCTGTATCGGTGTATCCCTAATTTATGTTTTCTGGACGACTGGTTTCGTCTGACGGGGAAACAGCCGTTTTCTTTACTTATTTATGTTTTTGCTTTTTTTGAAAAATTGTTATTAGCTATAATTTATTTGAGGGGAAAAGGAGGGATTTTTTTGTTTTTGAATTTGGAAAGAGAAATTTGTAACTGCCATTTGAGAGAAAGCGGGGTGAGGAGGCGAGGCCTACCACTTGGCACCGACTATGAGAGAGGCGAGGTTATTTTTTTTTATAATGGTAATTGAATTGCATTAAACGAAAAGAAAAAAAAAAGGAAAACAAAAGGTTCGGAAAGCGGAGGTTCACAAGAGAATGAACCAAAGCACCTCCCAACAAGGAATCAAAATAGAACACTGAGGAACAAAAAGGAACTGAACAGAAAAGAAAAGAAAAGAAAAGAACGAAAAACAGAGACACTAGCTAAGTGGATCAAGCCACTCCTGCTAGCCGAAAAAACCACTCAACGACAGACAAAGAGAGCCCAAACATCAAACAATTCAAAATGACTCCATTTCCCAGTATCCAATCGAGCATCCGTCCAAGGCTGGCTAATGCCCCGAGTCAACGAACAAAGCCTCTGCATCCGAAGTCACACAATCACCAGGTCACACATTCCCAAAATATTGTTTTTTAATTTATCACTATTTTTTAACAAAAGATAATCATATATTAATTCAAATAATAGGTAGTTACATTTTGGAATTCAGTCAGGCCTGAAAGTCAAACAAATGACTTATAGTTGGGTACAGAGAGGGTCTTTCTAGCCACCATATGGACTACCCTATTGCTACGCTGACCTACAAATCGAACACTAAAACCTGAATGAGCGGCAAAGTAATGCACGATTTCTTCAAGAATAGCCCCATTCGGTTATCTCTGATATCCGCCCGATTGATCTTCTCAATGACGACTCTGGCATCGCCTTCAAACCTCATTTTCGTGAAGCCATGGCCGAGACACCACAACATTGCCTCCCGGAGCACAAGCAACTCCACCACAATATTCCCCTTGCTGGGTTCATAATAACCATCCTGCCAATCGAATGAGACTCACTCCTTATTGTCTCGTCCCACATACAAACAGCCATACTAGACCCCCCAGGACCCAAGTGTTGTATAAAAGGGGGGGAAGACTGACGGACACGATCCATCGGCAAACGTACCCACTCCTCATATTGTTGGTTAAATTTACACATCAAGGAAGGTATCCCAAACTATTTACCCTCAAAGACAAACCATTACGAGACCGCCAGATCCTCCAAAGAACAGCAACAACTGCCATGAACAAAGAAGGTTGATGTATTACAGACATCAAGTTTTTTAGAAATAGAGGGAAAGTTTGACGAGGCAGCTCTTGCCCAAGATACTCCATAGCCAAATAGTCCCAAAGGGCTCTCGCCACTGGGAAATCAAGAAACGAGTGTTACATTATTTTCGAATCATCCCAACAAACCGGACATCGTGGAAGCACGAGGACATCCTTCTCGATAAGGGCTTCAGTGGTTGGCAGTATACATTTAAAGATTTGCCAGACAAATACTTTCAATTTTGGCGGAATATTAGCCTCCCATAGACGAATCCAATTGGCCTTATCCTAGCCAGGGACCTCTAGAGACCCCGCCTCTGATCAAGCAAGAGAGAAAAATGGTAGGCCGACTTAACAGTGAACACCCGTTAGCCGTGGCATACCAGATCAGTCTATCCTCCACATTTTGTCATGGAAGAGGAATAGCTTTAATGGCACGACATGTTGGCGGGTCAAACCACTGCTAAGTTTATGATCACACCACCGTCCCTCCCCTTGACAGATAGCCTCGGCTACAGGCGGGTCACCCCCGTCCGGTAACACTTGGAGATTATATGTCGGGGGAGAGGGATGTAACCGAGGAATCCAATTGGAATGAAGCAGAGAAGCAGTTTAATCATTCCCAATTTGCCATCTTAATCACTTCTCTAATAATTGTCGGCCATAAAGGATACTCTAACAACCCCAAGATGGATGAGATCGAGCCGTGGTACGGAGGAAGGTACCAATCGGAAAAAGTTTCCCTTTGTAAACCTGGGCTAAGAGGGAACGTGGTTCATTAAGGATACGTAATCCATTTTGACTAACAGAGCCTGATTAAAATGTTCAAATCCACGAAATCTCATACCCCCATCATGTTTACTCCTGCACATATTGCACCAGGAAATCCACCGAATCCTCGGTTGGCCCTCTTCAACACCCCACTAGAATATGGTCACATGTTTGTCCAAGAGACGGCACAGGGAAAAAGGTAACTTGAAACAGGACATAACATCCAGTGGCAAAGCTAGAGTGACTAATTTAATCAAAGTTTCCTTAGCCGCCCAAGATAAAGTTCTCTATTTCCAGCCCTGGAGTCGCTCTAGCAACTTCTCTTCCAAATACTGAAAAGTAGCCATTTTAGACCGGGCAGTCATCGTCGGCAACCCAAGATACTTATCATGGACCCCTATCGCCCCCACACCCAGAATCTGAGCCAAGAATTCCTGGTCTGGCAGAGCAATATTCTTACTAAAGCAAACTGCCGATTTAGCCAGGTTCACCCTCGGGCCACTAAGTTCCTCATACTTATTCAAAACCTCGATCAAATTCTCACATTCCTGGAGAGAGCCCAGAAGGAATAAATAAGAATCATCGGCAAAAAACAGATGTGAGATCTGGGGAGCGCAAGGAGCCACTTTGACTCCTTCCAGTTTGCGTTCCGAAATGGCTTTTCTAATGAGCGCCGCAAACCCTTCCGTGCATAGCACAAACATAAGCGGAGAAAGAGGATCTCCTTGACGAAGTACTTTGGAAGAGGTGAAGTAACCCGAAGGGGTGCCATTCATGAGAACCGAAAACGATGTTGATTTGAGGCACTCATGAATCCATCCTCTCCAGATGGAGTTAAAACCCATTTTGCTCAAAAACAGCAAGAAGAAATGGCCATTCGACTCTATATAGCCATTTCTCCATGTCAACCTTTAGAGCCATGTACCATTTCTTATCACGTGTTTTGATTTTTAAATAGTGCATTAACTCATCTCCAAGGAGGATATTCTCCACTATTTGTCGTTCACGGATAAATGCATTTTGACCTTCTAAAATGATTTGTGGCAAGAGACAAGCAAGCGTTCAGCCATGATTTTGGTTATAATTTGGTACACAAACTGGCATAAGCTGATAGGACGAAGCTATCTCATGGTTTCCACATTGTCTACTTTAGGGATCAACGTTAGCCGCATATGATTGAAACTACGGACCATCTTACTCGTGGAAAAGAAAGAGCAGACATCAGCAATCACAAAGTCCCCAACAATATCCTAGAAGGCCTTAGAAGAATTTTCCAATGAACCCATCAAAACCTAGCACCTGCTTAACTCCATAGAGAAAACCGTTTTTCTTACCTCACAAGGAAGGACTTCACTCGTAAGACTGGCATTCATAACCGGTGTAACACTCTGGGCTATGGGAAGATCACCCACCCTCTCAGCAATGTTCAACCCCTGATTCTTCGAGGTGAAAAGAGTATGATAAAAATTAGTGGTAATTTATGCCTTTCCAGTCTCCTCAATGATCCATTCCCCACAGTCGTTACGGAGGCTAGACACAAAATTTCTTTTTCTCGTAGTCCTCGTAACCGTATGGAAATAAGACGTATTTTTATCTCCTTTCCTCAACCATCGGACACTAGATTTTGTTGCCAATAGATCTCCTCAACCTCCCATGGGCGATTTAGCTCCAATTCCAGGTTTCGGACCTCATCCCAGTTTATAGGATGGATTAATTTTATCATTTCAATCTTAGCCCAGAGAGTTTTAAATTTTAATGTTCCAAAGGGAATTCGTAGTACCTACCCTACTCCAGTCATAGAACAAATGGCGTATCTTCTTAAGACGTTCCCAAAGTTGAAACATAGGAGTGCCTAGAATTTCCTCCAGTCATACAAAGTTCACCATCGCCTTTACCTCCGGATTATCAGGCCAATGAGCATCAAAGCGGAAGAGGGGTCAACTATTCGGTGTATAGGAATTGTCAGAGAGGAGAAGGAGCCTGATGATCAGAACCCTAATCCGTGAAGTATTTCACCAGAGTATCCGGGTATAGATCAGTCCAGGTCTGTGAGCACAAAGCTTTGTCCGACCTCTCATGAATACAAGCCACACTCATCCTTCTGTTCGACCAAGTTTATTGATCACCTTGGTAGCCCGGGTCATGGAGGCCTAGGTCCTGAATAAAATCACGCAGGCTAAGAGAATGAGCGACATTCCACGGATTTCCACCATCTTTTACACCTACATGAAGAGTAGTGTTAAAATTTCCTATGACAACGTAGGGAAGATGGATGGCATCACTGATTTCACGTAGTTGAGCCAATTGGCGGCTCTTATTGCGACATTACAACTAATGTAAATAGAATTCACAACATAAGGAAAGTCCACTTCATTAATTTGGGCACAAATACAGAAGTTGGAATGAAAAAACACTGAAGCCTCGACTTCGGGGGACCAAGCTACCACTAAACCACAAATATGAAAGTTTTAAAAGTATTGATACAAATATTGTATTTTTGTGTAGGTAAAAGAGCGAGTCTGCCCGAGAATCAGGAGGAGTCGCTTTTTGAAAATTTTAGTTCAAAATGAGCGGACCCACCCCAGTCACAGACGGGTATTCTAAAAGGACAGCGGTGGCGCCCGAGACTCAAGCGAACGCACCTTCCCCCTCCTTTTTTACTTTCCTTGTTCGTGCCCCCAATGTATTTTCTTCTTCTTCTGCAAACCAACAACCACCACCGCATCTCCTTCCTCCTTCTCGCCCGACCCCTAGCGCCCACGCCGGACAGAAAGACGGGCTCGCCCCGCCTCAAGTAGACCAACCGAAGACAGAGGCAGCCTCGCCTCGGTCCCAAGCGAACCCACCATCATTCTTCTTTCCTCACGCACGCACCTCCCCCAGCTGATCTGGTTGGTTTTTTTTATTTGGGGAGAAGATGTGCGACAGCGACGAGAAAGCATTC